CTCTATTTTTTGTTCTTTTCCCTCTCATACAATACATAGATAATGTTTGTAGGACTGACATCTTTTATTTGTTCCTTTCTGACGATTTGCAATCTTCTGACAGCCTGCCACGAGTGACTACATTGTTAGAGATACTGGGAACTGCAGTCCACGCTACATGAGGTGCACCATCAATCAGGTGACTATACTTGCTGTGGACAAGCTATGGTTCTTTGTATTCACTTATGTTTTATGAATAGTTATTTTCTTTTCATGATTTTTCTTTTGGGAGGGGTTGAAATATCATGATTCTCTTGCTTTTGGCATAACAGATCCCATGCACGGCTGACCTTTTAGCTACATCAGGGATGCAGTTGGCTTTGTTGGTCCAACCTTTTGCTCTTCCTCATGCATCTGAGGAACCTATCCAAGTAATGCATGATATCATTTTTTTTTTATCTTTGTGATCGTTTTAAAGATGTATTTCTTTATAGAAACTTTTCAAGATGCATTGTTTAACTTTATATGTTAACACTTCCCCTCATCCTTCCCTTATACATAAAATGTAAGCACTAGTCTTCTTAAAAAATGTAAGCACTAGTGTTAGAAGAAGTCTTGTATGTTTTAGAGATGGGTTTTGCTGGCATGGATTGATAGATTGGCAATTGTTACCAGATGTTAGAAGTTGATTTCACTTGCTCTATATGGTTCAAATAGGGATATATAAAATTATTGATAATATGATTTGTTTTAGAGATCAGAGTGTTAGTCCTATATGATCTACAAATATTATTACCTGGGCAAAAGCTGGTGCGTCTGAGCCAGCATTGCTTCTTGTGCTCTTGAGATGGATGAAAAACACTTTATTGGCATATGTTATATTCTTTTAATTGAAATTTGAGAACCATTCTGGATGAAGTTGTGATTGGAAAGTGCGACAAGACATGCCTTGCAAGATGTGTAGAGTTATCCCTCCCTCCTCTTCCTCTCCCCCTCTCACATTGTAGGTCTCGTGCTATCACTTTTGGCTTTTAGCATCGGTAATGTCTTTTATGTGAGGATATATAATGTGCATATAGATTTGAAAGCAAGTAGAACCATGCTTAAGTTTTCAACTTGAGCGTTCACATGAAAGAAATTTTCTATTTGTAGCTTCCACAATTTTGCTTATTGCTTTTGCAAGTGCGAGTTTTAGTGAAAGAAATTTCATTCTCTTTTTGTGACGATCATGGGAGATTTTTGATTTATTTCATGCTCTCTTTACTTTTTTAAAACAACTATATTGCATCAACTTTATTAAATTCTTTTTGTTAAAAAAAAAACATAGAGGAAGAAGTGTAAACATGTTACTTGTGTTGAACTTAAACAACATTTACTAATTAAAGAAGCTGATGAATTTCTTATAGCATGGGTAATGGTGTTTCTGATTGGCTTATAACTACCAAAAGGGGTATAGGAATATAATAAAATTATATATATTTTTATTTAAATGATAATAATTCATATGTTGGACTGGAATATCCTTTGCCTAGCCATTCTCTGTGCCTTTGTAACCATCCCTATGTCACAATGCCCTTTTATTTCATCTCCTTATCTGCCCCGAAGGTCAAACATCCTGAAATTTCTCTCTCTCTTACTTTTTTTTTTCTTAGAAACCTCAATGACCAGGAAACTATTGACTGCTTCTCCTTGCTTCACCTCCTTTAACGTTTTGACATTTCTTTAAATCCTAATCATAGAATATGGATTATGGACTCTTCAGGTTTTTACACCATAAATCCTCTTTCTTTGCTTATCTAGAATCCTACTAATAAAATATGTGCTCTCGATAAATGTTTCTTGGGAGGTAAATACTGTTTGAGAGTTTAATGCTTTTGTTGAGCAACTATTCTTGACAGTCGCTACAAAATTGATTTTCTTCAAGCATGGTGGCCCTACTGTGGTCCCTGGATGTATGTGCTGTTGGAAGGCAAATTCTAGGTCACCTATTTTTGTCTTGTAACCTGGCCTGGAGGCTTTGGGCTGGATTATTTGACACTTTTGGTGTTAAGTGAGTGGCTCCCCTTTTCTCGAGTGTTTTGTCTCTTCTTCTTAATAGTACTGGGGAGAATAAGGAAGAAATGTTACCTTGATAGAAGCTCTTTTCACTGCGTTGTGGGTGCTTTATTTGGAGAGAAAGCTAAAGGCTTTTTACAGCGAATTTTACCTCTTCTTCTTGGGATAGGATGGCTTTTTTCATCTCTCTCTGGGCTAAAGTGTATGGGCAATATGGAGATATCTTTTGGCTATTTTGCAAAGAGGTTGGGTAGTTGTTCTGTCTGATTTTTTGGAGGTTGGGGCGGCGGCTCTTTCTTGATTTTCGGTTTCAGTCTTTTTGTTCTTTATTTTAGAGGACTGCTTATCCCCAACTAATGTACTTTGTTCTTTTCTCTCCCTGATTAATTTCTCTTTCATGTACTTAAAATAAAATAATGATATTTTATTTTAAGTAGGAAAGTGACAGCAGGTAGTATTTTTGGGGGGTTTGGTGCTTAATGTTTGCAGAAGCACCTTCTATAAGCTTGAACAAATGGAACCTACATTATAGATGAGATGTTCTGCATGTTCAATGAACCACTAGGTATTGGAGTAATGTTCTTAATTTTTAATTAATGAATCCTTTTAGTTGTTATTGATGGAAACTGTGTCTAGGCGTCTACTTAGATGGATTTCCATTTTAAAAGCTTTAATATTTTATGACATGGTTAGTGCTTCTTCAGTAGGTTTTACTGGAAAGTGAACAAGTTAAACTCTTCTTGAAAGTTAATAACAGTGATCCTCAACTTAGGCTTGTTAGCGTATAGGAAATCTTTGTTTTCTTTTGTTTGAGCCTTGAGGTGAACTCTTAATGTAGAAAGTTTCGTGATGGACTTCTTTTCTTTGCAATGCTTTGTTGGTTTAATGGCCCTAATTGGTAGCTTCTTGTTGATTGGCTTATTCTTTTTTCTATTGATTTTTTTCAAGTCAATAATTAGTGTTTCACCAAATGGTTATTCATTAATGATTGTGAAATTTTTGCCACGTGGCTTTATACTACCAAAGTTTTTCTTTGATTTGCTATTATATAAATAATCATGATTTGTTGTATAGGTTGTGGACTTTGGGGAAAGTGGTCCTGTTCGATGTGCTCGATGTAAAGGCTATATAAACCCTTTCATGAAGTTCATTGATCAAGGGAGGCGATTCATCTGTAATTTGTGTGGTTAGTATGAAATAATGCTAATGGTCAGTATGAAATTAATGCTAAGGGACTGTTGAATCATTAGGAAATTCCATGAAAATTTCCTATTCTTCTCATAGATATCTGTACCATTTTTTTTGGCATGATAATTTCAGTCTATTCTTCTAAATGGTAAGAATTTTGTTCATTTCATCTTTCCAAAATCTGCAGTAATTTCATTACAGCAAAACTGAAACTAGAAATTTATAGACATAATCATAAGGCTAATTGGCCTAAAATCTTCGATGTTGAAGGTACCCTTATTTTTTGGACTGAGAACCAAAAGGTTTAATTGAGACTTCACATGAAGGTCCCGTTCTTATAAAAATTTGCGAAGGTTGCACAAAAGTCCTCCTTAATGTTTGCTGATACATTTGAAGAAACAACATGGAGAAACCATCTGGGCCCGAGGTTTTATTACCCTTATAGCTTTCGAGAGCGTAAAGAATCTCATTCTCTGTAAATAGCCTCTTGATCCAATTCACATCCCAATTCACCAAGGAGCATAAATCCAAACTGTCAATGGAAGGATTCTAATGAGGTTCTTGTTTAGGTTCTCAAAAAAGCTTCTTCCTGTTGTTCTCATGCCACTATTGGAAAGCATTGCCATTCGCCTCCCTGCTCTTCGCTGTAAAGTATGTCTTTTATATTGGCCAGCAAAGCAAGGTTTTGAAAGAATCTTATAGTTGTGTCGTCCTTGGGACAACTAGCTCTAGATCTTTGGTCCCAAGGTTCACTTGCTTTACCCTAGCCAAGCCCTGTTTCTCCTCCATATCCGATATAAAAATCTCTCTCTTTCTAGGTTGTCTAATTACTGCTTCCATGTCTCCAAATTCACTCTTGCTATACTGCTTAATCCTAGATTTGACTTGAGATGGCTTTCTTGAGATTTTGAAACTAGCATAGCCATCCACCAGAGACTCTTCCTGACCACAGCTTGCCTCCAAACAAAGATCAAAATGGTCGGAGGTTGAGTGAGGAAAATATATTTTGCACTAGGCTGTGAGCATGGCAGATCTTTTTTTTTTTTTTCGCATGGCAAATGTACAAAGACAAGAAAGTGGTCAATTTTGGATCTCCTTCTAATTCGATCTTGCCACCTATCTCCTGTGAAAGGAAGGTAGTAAGACTGATTCTACCTAGTAGATTCCGAAACTCCTTTGAACAAGTCCACAAATGAGCTTTCCTCAATCTCCTTGTATTTATACTATTTCTCTTGTATATTTGTTTTATTATTACTTTTTAAAAGAAAAATAGTAAATAGGATATGAATTGCTACCAAACGACCTGTAGAGCCTTTTTTTCCCATTTTCTTTTGATTCTACCAGTTTGTGTTTTGTCTACGTTGGATATATTTATATCTGATAACTAATCTTGTTATTGTCATTCTTCTGTTAATTTGTTCGGAGGTCATTGGACTTACCTTGTCAATAGGAAGTTTTGCATATTCTAGCTATTTGCCTTGGTGTTTCATAATTTACAGTAACACAAACTTTTGTAGAATGGCGTTCTTGAGTCTTCTTATTGAAGTTCATCAAATAAGATGGTGTTTGGGAATGTGTTTAAAACAGTATGCGTTTAAAAAAATACACAGGAATACATTTAGATAAAATGCTGATTGGAAAAATAAGCAGTAATTGTTTTTTGGTAAAGAAATCAATAAATGATATGTTTACTACAAATATTTTATAACTTACATTATATATGTACATTATTAATTTTAAACAGATATGTATTTCAAAAAAATGTATTTAAAAAAAAATTAAACAGATATGAAGAGGGTAGTTAAGATATTTGTTAGGTAAAGAAAAAAGGACTTAAAAAATTAGAAATGATGTTCTTATTTTCTTATTGACTTAAAATCATCTCTAAGAACTACATACTTAAAAAACGAAGAAGTCACCTTTAAGAACTTATTTAACATTCAGTACTTCATGTTACCAAATGGAAAGATTGAAACCAAATGCTTAAAACTGTGTATAAGTATGGAATAAGCAATCTCAAATCTTACCACCCATCAAGATCATTGAATGCGGTGCAAGTGGTGCGCCTTTCTCTTTTGATGCCTAATGTATTAACGGTTCTGGTTGCAGGTTATACTGATGAGACTCCTCGAGACTACCATTGCAATTTGGGTCCTGATGGTAGGCGTAGGGATGCTGATGAAAGGCCTGAGCTTTGCAGAGGGACTGTTGAGTTTGTTGCTTCAAAGGAATACATGGTTTGTTTGTGAAATATGTGGGTTTTATGTTGATAGTCTATGATTTTATTTTTGTTCTAACCATCTGCTTGTTTGTTTTGTTGAGAATTACTTACTAGATGTACAGGTGTAAAAAATGTTTGTTGTGTTCTTGTTTTGGTTCCGGTGTTCACAACTGTGAAAGAGCTTAGTTAGAGCCTTCTAGAATGCACCTAACATCCATGGAGCTGTTTCTTTTTTGTTTTGGAGAGAAAAAAGGATATGCATGTCAGCTTTCATAAAAGAACCAAATTATTCAGAAGAAGAAACAATATCAATACAGGATCCATTCCTGGAACTTATTCAATTGTCCAGCTCATTATTACTTCAAAAAATAGACGTTGATGACAGAACATGTTCCTATCACCCTTTTTCGTCGCATATTCTTTAGTTGAACATGTTGAAGTTTTGCATATTGTTTAGCCAGGGCCCTGAATGGGAGGCATCCTAAACAGTTCTCATCAAAACGTACCTATGATAGTGTAGTTACTTATCTGTACAATTCTAGAATTCAAGCTGTATTATGTAGCCTTAAAAAAAGTGTTATTTCCACAAGCTTTCACTCTTGCTGACAGAGTGATAGGTTTATAGTTAAACTTAAGATTGTGAATGTATCATGTTCTCCTTTCTTCTTTTATGAATGTTGGTTTTCTTTCTTTCTTTTATTTCTGTTCCCTGGATAATTGAATTATTTGGCCACATATCTAATTTTCAGGTGCGGGACCCTATGCCAGCTGTCTATTTTTTCCTCATTGATGTCTCTATGAATGCCATACAGACTGGCGCAACTGCTGGAGCTTGTAGTGCTATCAGTCAAGTCCTTTCTGACCTTCCTGTGAGTTTCATGACTATTTCTTGAATGCCATAGCTGTTCAGTATGCCTTGTTTTAGGGGCTATGTTGGACAGGTGTATTTCTGTATATATTATTTTACTGTGTATTTATTTATTCTTTTAAATGACCAGCAAGCATGGTATTGGATGCGAACATGCAGGTCTTTCCTGCAGAAGTGGTTGCCGATATGCTTTAATTATTGATAGATGAACATTTGGATGGACGTTAACCCTGGCACATTACAGTTGTTAAGGAATTAGAAATCTACTTTGAGCATGTTACAACTATGGTCGTAAAAGAACCCTGCTGTTGGTACTTCTTAAAGTTGATGTGAAGTAATCGTATTTTTGTTGAGAATCTTGAACAGTAGAAATAATTACTTCTCTGGACTCTGATGGGAGTGAGGGAGAGTGGTTTGAGGGTAAAATTTAGGATTTTTTTTGAAATAAAGGGTAAAATTTAGGATAAAAACTAAGCAAATAGGATAAATTCTGGTTTTTGCAAGACATAGACAGAGAACATTTCTGTTTAATAAATTTTAACCTCTATGAATAATTGTCTTGAAAAGAATGTATATTGATATGCATATAGGCTTATACTACCATTTCTACCCCTGTCAAGAGTAAAGAGCCAAGACAGGAAAACTTCAAAATCGTTTTCCTTTTGGGAGATATCTAGTCCTTAGCTGATGTACTTCTCCTTTTATTCCTAATTAAATCTTCTTCTCTATAGAAACATTCAAAACAAAAAAGGGCGAACCTTTGAGGAAAACCAATTTACATAGGAAAGTTAATAATAATAATAGAAATATAATCATTTTTGTAAACCTTTAGAATACATCCTAATCTATTAGGAGTCATTATCTTTTAGGCCTCTTATTTACATCATGCATTGGAGATGACAAAATGTTCCGATTTTTCTCATTGCAATCTCAAGTTTTTTTAATTTTCATGTTTATCTATCTTTGCTTAGGATTTTAATGGATTAGCTGCAGTACCTAGGGGAGTTGTGGATTTTTTTTACTTGTTTATGGTGTTGGTTCAAACTCCAATTTTTTACTTTACCTCGTTTCTTCTATGAAGATTAATTGAAGGATATGAAGTAAACGAAATTTATGATCATTTTTTCTGGGTGCTGGCTTCTTTTTTCTTGAGAGTAAAAAATGAATATATTCAAGAGTACCAAAGGGCTGTAACCTATAATATGGAAAAAAAATAATTACTAGTGTTGATAAGGATTTCATGCTAAGTAGAATACTATATTAGTTAGAGATCTAATAGTATAATTATATCCTATAATTAGAGTCCAACTAAAATAAAGATAATCAATTTATATATATCTTCTAAATGTAAGCACACAACATAAGTAATAAAAATTAAAAGTTTATTTTCTCCAAAAAACTTCATGGTATCAGAGCCAAAGGAAGGCTATTTTAGAGTTTTGAAAAAATCCTAAAATAAGTAAAATAGGCCAAAGTTGGTATTCAACTACCAAATAAACCAAACCCAACATCACCTAGACGGAGTTGCTGCTCAACCCCGGCCAGAATGACCACAGTTTCCTCGCGCGTCCACCACACCTGCCGCCGACTTCATCACATTCGCCCTGAAAAATGGTGGAATACCGCTAGAAAAGCCCGATTGAGACAAATCCAATTCCTTTCCGCAAAAATCCGGCTTGATTGTGATTATCCGACATTTTTTTCACGTGGCTGCGCGCGTTTGGAAGGTCTGCCGTTCTGCGCCCGTCGCCGCTCTGATATGGCCGATTCGCATCTGGAGACGGTTTGACTGATCCTCCTGTACACCACGTTGCTCCGGGCGCGCACTGAGTCACACTGCATTGATCGGACAGAGCCCCTTCCTTGCACCAATTTGTTTTTTTCCGCGCACGGGAAGTTTGGTGTGGCCATTCCGCGCCCCAGACCACTCCGACCTCTGCTGTTCGCGCCTAAGTAGAGTTGTTCGCGTCCGAGCCAATGCCAAGCCTAGCCAAGCCGAAATAGATATGGTTCCGGTTTTTTTGTCATTTGTTCGATTTTTTTGGTCTTTTTTTTGCTTTCTGGTGCGGATAGGAGATTCGTTTTTCATTATTGAGTATTTTTTCTTCTTATTTTCAGCATTCTAAGATGATAGAAGCAAAAAAGATGAGTGTTACTAGTTTTGATAATCCTTCATTACAAATCAGTCCCATAAAATTTGACGGAACTAATTATTTTGCTTGGTCGAGATTTTGTTTATTGTTCATCAAATCTAGAGGATTGCAGGGTTACATTACTGGTGAAGTGAAGAAAGCAGATATTGGTAGTTTAGAATATAATAGATAGGACTTTGAGAGTTCATTGGTAATGTCATGACTAATAAATTCCATGCAACCCTATATTGGCAAAACATATTTGTTGCTTAACACTGCAAAAAAATATGAAATATAGCATATCTTACATATTCATGTATGAGTAATGACGCCTAGATTTGTGAATTCCGGAATAAAGTTCATGACACAAAATTAGGAGAGATTATTTTTCAATATTTTTCTGAAATAAATGGATTATAGAAGGAGTTAGATTACTATCAAGATTTTCAAGTAGAGTATCCTGCAGATGCAGCCAAATTTAAGAAATTGATAGAAAAAGAGAAAATGTATAATTTTTTAGCTGGTCTGAATACTAAATATGATCAAATACGAGTTCAAATACTTGGTAAGAATCCCTTTCATTCATTAGAATAAACTATGGTTATATTCAGCAAGAAAAGAGTAAAAAAATGTCATGCTTCACATTGCACCAGTTGAGAAGGCTGAATTAATTGCTCAGTTTGAGTAATCCAGAGATACTGGGGAAACTTGTTGGAAGTTGCATGGAAGACCAATTAGAGGTCAGGGAGGAATAAGAGGTGGAACAATAAGAGCCCAAGTAAATTTTGTTGAAGATAAGGAAACACTTGGTTCACCATTCGTTGGAGCCTTTTCCATAGAAAAAATTTAAAATCTGAAGCGATTTCTGAGTCAACTTAACTCTCCATCAACTGTTGTCACATTAAATATGGTAAAATCAGGTATTGTTTATCCTATTTTCATTCCTGATAATTGGATCATAAACTTTGGAGATAAAAGACACATGACAGGCTCTTCTAAAGCATTCTTAACCTATTCTTCTTGTACTGAATGAGATAATGTCCGTGCAGTAAATGGATCATACACTCCCGTGTCAAGAATAAGTTCCATTAATTGTACTTCTACTATTACACTGTCTTTAGTTTTACATGTATATAGTTTTTCTGATAATCTTTTATCTATTAGTGGCATAACTAAAGATCTCAACTGTAAAATTGAATTTTTTCCTGATTGTTGCATCTTTTAGGATCTTCAAATCGGGAAGAAGATTGACATTAGTAGATTCTAAGATAACTTATATGTTTTGAATAGACATCTAAATTTAATTAGAAATCAAACAACCCTTGGGAATAAAGAAGTCAATATGGAGATACTACAATGACACCAACGATTGTGACATCTTTTCTTTTTTATTTTAGAAAAATTATATATTAAGTTATTTAAAAGAATTTCTGTGAAGTTTTTATTTTGTGATGCATGTGAATTTGTTAAATATAAGAGAAGTTTTTATCTTTTAAGTAATAATAGAAATACTGATCCTTTTATAACTATTCACTCTGATGTATGAGGACTTACTCAGAATAGCTCTTTTTCTGGTCATAGATGGTTTGATAAGAATTTCATGTTAAGTAGAATACTATATTAATTAGAGTTCTAATAGTATAATTATATCTTATAATTAGAGTTTAACTAGAATAAAGACAACTACTCTATATATATTTTCTAAATATAAGCACAAAACATAACTAGTAAAAATTAGATATTTATTTTCTCCAAAAAACTTCAATTAGTCACTCAAATGTCAATAAGATCTTCAAGATCTTCAACAGAGTAAAACATATGACCCTTAATAAAAAAGCTTAGAGTTTGGGACCATGTACCCTTAAAAGCCTCTTTCTCTCCTTCAAGATGACCCTTCAAAGCCAACAAACGATAAGTTGTACTCCAAAGTCGATGCATGAATGGACAACAACAAAAGAATATGCTTGCAAGATTCAATATCTTTCTTGCATAGAAAGTATTCATTCACTAAAATTCTTCCCTTCCTTATCAACTTGTCTAAAATTAAAATGCATTCTTTTGTTGCCTCCTAAACAAGGAAGGCCAACCTTGGGGTTGCTTTGACCTTCCAAATCTTTTGTCTACAAAATCCTCACCCCCTCTTCCACTCACCTTACCATATATCTAGTGCCCATAAAAAGATTTCATTGAAAGACTCTTGACGAGGCCAACTTCCATGTCGGCTCGTAATAAGAAGTATGGTCCATTTTTCTCAGTGAGAGTGATTTCATCAAATTCATATGCAATGCAATCGCCCAATCTTTTGAATTTCTAATCAACTCCACGCACCAAACATTGATACACCAGGTACCCACCAAGGACTCCTGGATAGTGGCATCCTTATTCCCTTCATCCCCCCCACCCTCCATCTTTTACACCCTGAAAATCCTCCCTCCCATTACTTATTCTCTTCTGTAACCCCATCCCATGACAATCCCTAGGAAAATTAGAGAACCATCACAGCCAATTCTTCCCATGTTTTGCATCAATTATTCTCCTCCAAAAACTTCCCTGCTCCCTCATTAACCTCATACCCACTTCCCTTGAGGGACTATGTTAAACCCTTCCAAAGATCTCAACCCCAATCCTTCTATTTGAAAAGGTTGTTTCTCGTTGTCCCATGCCACTGGATGATATATTCTCCTCTTCACACTCTCACCTCACAGGAAATTGCCTTGCATCTTCTCCAACCTCTTTGCCACACTGGAGGGAATGGTAGATAATGATATTAGATAGATAGGAACTTTGAGGTGCTAGTTAGTTATAATTGAAGTGAACAAATGCAATTAAAATTTTGTGGCAGGGTGCTAGTTAGGTTTGTTGATGATGTCCTTTATATATAATGCTCACGGATTGGATGCGTCCAAGGGAAGTAGAAGGCCACTTGTGGGTTGTGATCTAGCTTATGTAATCCTGATGAAGAAAAAAATTGGTCATTTGTGGCAGATAAAAGTTGCGGCATGGTTTGGGAACTATTCTTCTATTGTGTGTTCATTTTTCTGACAAGTAGTACTTGCCGATTACTTCCTTGCACATTATGGAAATCTTTCATTCCACTTTGAAATGTTTCTCGTTCTAGGAATTTATCCTTCTTTTTTTGGCTTTTTCTTTAATGACTTTATTCCTATTGTCAATGGATTTTGTTCTTGTTATTACCTGATTATCTTTCTTGGTCGGGTATTCTCACATTTATCTTGCTAGGCAGTAGTTTTAGTTATTAAGTGGATAAAAAGGTTATTTCCTGATGCATTTATGTCATTGCAGGAAGGCCCCCGGACATATGTTGGGATTGCAACATTTGACTCAACAGTACATTTTTACAATTTAAAACGTGCATTGCAACAGGTAGGTTTCCGGTAATTTGCTATTTTTTTCTTTACCACCTATAAATTTTACATCATTGATAGAAATTTATTTCTTCTCCTAATTTTAGATGGTTACTTGAAATTTTCTTATATTTTTTCCCATTGTAGTTAGTAATTTTATTCAAGTGAAAAATCAGGATAGATACACTAAGATGCCATGTTGA